TCGAGACCTCCCACTAGACACGATAACCTCACAACCAGCTGGGCTGGAATGCTTGGTTTGTGATAAAGTCTGAACATGGTTTGTCACTAATTAAAGAAACTAGACTAACATTACATTTGTTGTTAATATTGATTTCTAAACATGCAATATTAAATCAAACATCCTGATATACTTCATTTCACTTAAGCCATTAGCACCTAGAGTATGTTTGATATAATTGAAAATTAGAACATTTTAATAATTTGTTATATACTTATATGTATATACTCTGTATATTGTTACAATCAATGATGATTAAAATAAGCTATTAATTGTTTTTTTGGAAGCACAGAAAATCAAGTTCATATGATATAAAAGAGTACACAACATCTTATGGAAAAGAAATAAACCGATGAAAATGATCATATCCATCAAATTTCAAACCTCTCAACCAAGACTACAAACTTATCTCTATAAAAAGGGAGAATGTTGAATTGGCAAACATACTAAAACTTTATAAACAATTAAAATTTCTAAAATAGTTTGAAATCTTAGGTTCCCAGATTAACTCTTGAACCACACTATGACATTCTTTTCCAAGGAGCAGTCTTAGATATAATATAGCTCACACATTAAAAAACAAATTGATGGATCTACAAATATTGACATAAACCTCACCTAATTATTCAAGGAAATATTCCCATTGATTAATTTATTAAAATAAATAAAAACTCTTATATTACACATTTATCAGATAGAAGTCCAATTGATAAAATAACATATAGAATATCAATGTCTGATTGAATAAAATTGTGGAAAAAATATTGAACTACTGGATCCTCTGCTTCATGAATTATAGGCGGAAGATAGATCACATGTTACAATGAAAGAAGTAAAACTTACATATTGTAATTGTAACACAATATTGCTACACAAGAGCAACTCCCAAACAGATTGACTACGTACATGCAACCTTGATGAGTGACCATGTTGGGTGAAGCTCCACTCCAAACCCTGAACCTTTCTCTTCTAACATGGACTCCACAAGTGCAACTGCATAGAGTGATGACTGATATTGAGAGTTACTACTTTGTTGCTCTCAACCTGAAATGGATGCAACTTGGAGAAAATTGTCACGATATCGAGATGTCTCTGAAGAGGCGATTCATTGAATTTGAAGAGCGAGACAAGGATTTTGAGTCTAAAATAGTTAAATCCAGAGAGTTGTTGGAAAAGTGTGAAGTAATTGCTTTATCTAAAGAGAAAGCTTTTCTATTTGTACTATTGCTCTCAGTAATTGCTATTTTACAATGTAGACTAGGAGTTCATTTCACCAACCAAAGGGCGCAATTACAACAATTTGGACGATTGAGGGGTGACATTTACCATCTCAGAAATGGGGGTCTAACATTTCAATATGCTGACTATTTCAGAGACTAAAAGTGTGATTTTTCTGTCATAAAAAATTCAAAAAAAGAAAAACTTATAGAGGCTATGTTCAATTATTGGTAAATATGTATATAGTGCAGGCTTTGGAGAATAAACTATTATGTTAGATTCATATTTATGTGTTAGCATGTAATTAAACTTACTCCAAATACATTTCATTATCCTAATGTTTATTTTTTCTTTTTGTAGTTTATCTTGCCCATTCACTACAAATAGTCAATGTTTCACTAGAATAAGATCCACAATATTTGAATGAATCTCCAACAAAGATGGATAAAATATTTTAATTCACTCTACAGATCAGAGGTTTTCCACCAAGACCATAAATATAATGTTGTCTATAGAAAAGTTTTACAAAATTAAGAAACAGTCTTTCCAAATTTTTATGTGCTTTTAGACATATTACGATGTTACAAAATGTATGATCTTTATTACTCCGTATTATTATTATTATTATTATTATTATTATTCTTATTATTATTCTTATTATTATTATTATTATTATTATTATTATTATCATAAATACACATCCTGGTGCTTTACGTACGAATAGGAATTAGTATCTTGATACAATAAAATATTATAAACATACAATATGAAAACTAAAAATATATACTATACGCAAGTTGCCCCGGGGCAACGCCCCGGTGTCTTAGCCTTATATTTATAATAAAACAGAGTTATAAGAATTACAAAGTAATCCCTGAATATTACATTATTAATAAGAAACATATAAAACTGATTTCAACACCAATAAAATGTTTGTTGAAATACGGAATTTTCAGGGTTAGAAGTTTGAATTGAGGAATTGAAAATTGAAGAGCATCTAGCCTATAAATTGGTGTGTATAAAACCCACATATCAAAGCTCAATTTGATCCGCTACTTGCACAATTTTTTGAATCAATTCATTTTTTGGATTTTGTTTAGCTGGTGCGTCATTCAGATTTGTCGCGGTACGTCACTACGTCCACTCTGCCAATTGCCAAATACCTTTCATTTTTTCCCTGCTTCTTAAGATTGGAGCTGGAACGATTTAGGATGATGTTGGGCACTATATATTGCTCTTGTGATTTCGTTATGTGTAGCCTTTGGGACACTTACTGTTTGGTTTAGGTTATAAGGTAATTTCTGACTTTGTCTATCCCATTGTTATCTCATAATTTGAATTTTATGTGGTTTTAGAAAGGAAAAATATAATGTAGCAAGCCCTTAAAAAAGACAAATCATATGAACTATAGACTTTTATTTGATATTAAAACTAAGTGAACCCCAAAACCTTTTGAAAATAAGAGTTAAATGTTATTGTATTAAAATTGACAGAATTCCAAATTCTTTTGAAAATAAGGATTGAATGTTATTGTATTAAAACTAACTGAAGAATAACTATAATTTTATTTTGAGATATAGTATGTTGCTTCTTCCCGTGTTTAATTAATCCGTACTATATAAAAATTTAGGACTTCTTCGAGAGTTGTTATACCGTGAGAGCAGCCCGTGGTGAGCGTCATACCCTCCATTGGTAAAAGATGATATTTAACACTGTCATCTGTTCTTTAAAAGTTATAACAGTTTGACTTTCATGTTTGCCGACGCACAACTTTGACTGTAATTATATGTAGCTACGTATTAGTAAACTTTATAAAAATTTATATATATTTTTTAAAGGGATGAGGATCAAATTGGACACTATGGTTATATGAAAATCTCATATTGGACACTAAGGTTTCAAATGGACCAAATTGGACACTATGGTTACTTGTGTATCTCATATTGGACACTAAAGTTTGAAATGGATCAAATTTTACGTTTTTGGTCATTTTCGGACACCCACCAAAGATTTTCATCTTGAAAGCTACAAGTATTCCTTTTTCTCTTGGTTTTATGTACCTAAAAAATAAAAATAACTTAATTCATGTATTTAGATTTAGAATATATAATTAGAAGTTCCAATTAAGAAAATATATTATAATGTATTTGAATTCCTTAATATTGTTAAATCAACTTAACAAATCGATATTTCTTAAAGTTCCATAAAAATCATATGAATGAAAAGTCCTAAATATATTTGTAAATTATTAAATATAAGAAGTTATTAATTAAAATCTAAATATATATTCTAAAACTTCAAATTAAATATACCAAAATTACATACGTAATTAAATTAGTTTATTTTCACCAAAAAGGAAAGGAAATATAAGATTAACAATTTTTATTAAAGGAAGAAAATCGATAATCATAAGTGAGTGTCCAAAAACTATGAATTATGAAACTTCAGTGTCTAATATGAGATACACATGTAACCATAGTGTCCAATTTGGTCCATTTGAAACCTTAGTGTCCAATATGAGATACTCATAAAACCATAGTGTCCAATTTGAGCTTTGTCCTTTTTTAAAATTCACATTAATAGAAATTTAATAATATTTTATACATGATATTTTGGTTATATATATTACGGAGTACTAGAAAATCGTGTTTAAAGTAAGATGTGTGAATAGTACAAAAAACTAAATGTCACAAGTGTTAAAGAACGGAGGAAGATCGGAAATTTGGTTTTTTTTTGTGTGTGGTGGGGGGATCGGAAATTTGGTTGGTTGCGTACGTTGCCCACCGGCTTTTGCCCAACCATATTTTCGTTCATTTTTGGGTATCCAAAAATAAACTTTGTTGACGTATTGGATGTCCCAATAATTATACATAGTACTCGTATATGGTTATCAAACTATGTAATCATTGCTCTTTGTTGATGTATTTCAAATATGTAATGAATACATGTGTAGATCACATGTAAATAACCAAATATTATTCGTGTGGCCTTTCATTATCCCATGTGTCGTAATTAATGGAAGCATATACCATCCAGCCGGTTGTACGGCTCGCACCGTACAGCCGGTGGCATTTTTGTAAATTTGATAAAGTTCATGATTTCTCTTAAATGAGCATTGATGTAATTGGATGAGCATCGAGTTTGTTCTTCTGAGTATTTGGAGCCTTACAATGAGCACCAGTGATCTCTGCTTCATATCTTCTAATTCAGTTTCTTTTTATTAATTTTCGTTAATAAAAAATTCTTAAATTGTGTTTATAATTAATTTCAATATGTCAATTTAATGTAGTATGATATGTTTGATATGTGCATCATTTTAAAATGAGCATAAACCGGTACCAAATGAGCATACATAAGTTACAAAATGAGTATCAAAAAATTCAAAAATTCATTTGTGTATGCTCATTGATTTTGGGTGTTATATTTGATATGTGCATCATTTTAAGAAGAGCATAAAGCAGTATCAAATGAGCATACATAATTTACAAAATGAGTATCCAAAAATTCAAAAGCTCATTTAATTTGTGTATGCTCATTGATTTTGGGCGTTATATTTGATATGTGCATCATTTTAAATGAGCATAAAGCAGTACCAAATGAGCATACATAATTTACAGAATGAGTATCAAAACATTTAAAAACTCATTCGTGTATGTTCATTGATTTTGGACGTTATACTCATTTAAGTTAACATAAAACACATTTTTAATATGTTTAATACCCAGTTGTGTATGTTCATTTCTTTGAGGTGTATACTCATCTGAGTTCAATATAAAACTCATTTTTAATGTGCTTAATGCTCAATTGTGTATGTTCATTTCTTTTATGTGTATACTCATTTGAGTTTAATATAAAACTCATTTGAGATGAATAGCAGTAGGGATTCCTTTGTCTGCAGTAGGCTCCTTTGTCTTCCAAAATCACAATCTCAAACACCAAAATTGAATAAGAAAAAGAGAAAAAAGAGAAGAGTGAAAAGAAAGATAGAGGGAGGATCTGTTGTGTCCCTTCTGGAGGAGAAGGAGATGAGCTGTGAGAGGCAACGACGAGCAACAACCTGGAAGAGAAAGAGACGAGTGGTGAGCGTATAATCAACCAGGTGCGAAGCCAGATTGATGAACCAGACGAGATCTAAAGCTATTGTAAAGCTGGGTGTAGTAGTGGACTCGGGCCGGTTCGGGCCCGGTTCGGGCCTGGGCCCGACCGGGCCTCGGGCCAGGAATGTTGGGCCCGAGCCCGAACCGCCGGTGGGCGGTTCCGGTTCCGGGCCAAACCGGGCCGGGCCGGGCCAGGCCGGGCCTAACCGGTTATATTTTTTTTTTTTGGCTCTTCTATTTAACCCCCAACCCCTCCCCCTCAACCCCAAACCACCCCAAATGGCCCAAAATACCTAATCCAACCCAAAACTTAAAAAAAATTCAAAAAAAAAAAAAATTAAAAACCGGCCCGAACCGGCCGGGCCGGTTCACCAAAAACAGGGCCCGAGCCCGAACCGCCCAACAGCCGGGCCGGGCCGAACCGAACTGGTTGACCCACCGGGCCCCGGGCCGGGCCGGGCCAAACAGTAACCGGGCCGGGCCGGTTCCGGGCCGCCCGGCCCGAGTCCACCACTAGCTGTCTAGCTGGGTGTGAAGTCGAGGAAGAAGTCCAGAGCGAGATCGATCGAAGAAGCACAGAGCCAAAAAAAAGTGCCGGCTATACCGCACGGTACAGCCGGCTGTACGATGTATTTTACCGTAATTAATAGCTAAGAATGCTAATGTGGCCTTTCTCAGTTCTGTGTCGCAACTCGCATACATACAACTCATTCATTATACTTGTTTATATGTAAAATGTAAATTTCTCTCTCGCCACTTGAGCAAGGAAATCGGTGAAACTGATAGAGACCTCCACGAATCCAGAACAGTTTAACAGGTAGATATCAAGAAACAAACAGAAAAAGCTTTATTGATGAAGAAGGAGAACAGTATCGGTAACCAAGGCCGTAGCCTCCCAATGAGCCGAAGCCCCCAAGAAAGAGAGTAGCTCTCGATCTCCAAGTCCCAATTGACAGTCTAAAACAGCCTACTACTAACTCCCTTTTCCCGTCTATTTATACTACAATATTCACGTACCCTTACTACTCATATTATTATTATTATTATTATTATTCTAATAATAGTCTAATACTCTAATAGGTTGGTTCCTATCAATACTCCCTCCCTAAACATCCACCTTGCCCTCAAGGTGGGTGATAGGAAACACCCACAATCTTCTGCTTCTTCTTCCTTGCTCCTCTTCCTTCCCAATACATGACTGTAGGTTGGTCAAGGAGTTTCCCTTCTTGAATCTTCATCCTCACTTCTAGCAAAAACAGCACTAGATCCCCTCCTTCACGAAAATAGGACCATGAACTCCAACCAGAAGACAAACTATTTGGATTCCCTTTCAAAACAGCATAGTTAAAACTATCTGCCCAGTCATAATTGGAAAGTGTTGTCAACATCAGTGGTTCCGGGTAGATGTTCAACAAATAGCAACTCGTGTTCTCAGCGCTAGATTTCCATACCCGAGTTGTTGACTGAACTTCAAGAAGAACTGCTTTTCCAATGGTCAGCATATTGAAAGGACCAGAGACATTCAATTTTTGTTGTTGATGCTGGAAGATGGAAGGGTTAAGATAAGAGCTAACAAAGTCCTTGTAAATGCCATTTACAAGTACAGTGGACCGAGCAGATGGGCTTCTAGCCACGGAATAAGAATTTGTCACAGCAGAATCAACAAACCGATAGTCTAAGCCTACCAATGATAGGTAACTATCCTTCACAAGACAAAGAATTAAACTGAAATCAAACTCCAGAAACAAAAGTTTATTGATATCGGAAATCTGTAAGAATACAGCCCAAATGTAGAGATAGAACTCTAACTTCCCAGTCAAGACCTCTAGTCTGAACAAGCATACACCTCCTTCTTGAATCAATATAATAATTGATGGTATTTTCCTTACATGTCCACCACTAATCAAAGCCAACTGGAAAATAGCAAGGTTGATTCCATGGTCAGACATCAAGAATCTGTTTGTGTAAATCTTCTCAATTACAGTAAATCCTATTCCCGATTTATCTTGAATGTTCTTAATTGGGGTAACATCACCAACTAAGAAACCATCGATCTTGTTCAACCCTTTCATTGTAACATCCCATCCAAGTTCAGGAACGAAATCAATCAAGGGTTTAAAATTCAGTACCTTAGCACAGTTCATATCATCATAAGCAAGTATATCTTGTTTAAGTATTTCTGAACCTCTCATTTTGTCTGCTGAAATTCCCGTAGGTTGATTAACCTCCTCTTCAGAGTCTGTTTCCTTAGCTGCAGGTATAAGCGATGATGAGATGTGAGATACGGTGAGTGAAGAAACCTGTGAAGTATGAACCTGTGCTCGGGTGGAAGCCAGAAGACCAGAAGAATTAGGCGACGAAGCTTTGCTTTTCGAATTTCTGCAGCGACGCACAGTTCTCGATCGTCCTCGCTGACGACGTAGTTGCCGCAGCTTGGGCTTCTCCTTTTCCAAGATTGAGGTCTTTTCCTTTTCTAGGGTTGATTGCTTCTCTTTCTCCACTTTTCCGTCCTCAACTTTTGATGCGAGCTTCCCCAATGTTCCGAGCGAATCATTTCGCGACTCTTTTTGCGATTCTTTTTGCGACTTGACGAGCGAACCAGAAGAAATAGTTTGCGACTCCTTCTGCGAACTGGTGCGCGTCTTTGACGAACGAATTCCAGGGCTCTTCGCTCGACGTGCAATTTTGCCACTCTTTCCCGAACCTGAATTTCTTGTGTGTCCATGGTGCGAAGTGCGATGCGATGCAGATGAGGCATGCGATCTACTTCCCGATCGATCTTGCTTTCTCGCATCCAATCTGGCGATCATAGTTGTCAATATCTCCATAGTTCGTTGATGATTCCTCTTCAAGTTATCCCATCGTGCTTCCATCTTTGCGCGCGTCAAAACATCAACAGTGAATCGACATGCTCTGATACCAATTGATAGAGACCTCCACGAATCCAGAACAGTTTAACAGGTAGATATCAAGAAACAAACAGAAAAAGCTTTATTGATGAAGAAGGAGAACAGTATCGGTAACCAAGGTCGTAGCCTCCCAATGAGCCGAAGCCCCCAAGAAAGAGAGTAGCTCTCGATCTCCAAGTCCCAATTGACAGTCTAAAACAGCCTACTACTAACTCCCTTTTCCCGTCTATTTATACTACAATATTCACGTACCCTTACTACTCATATTATTATTATTATTATTATTCTAATAATAGTCTAATACTCTAATAGGTTGGTTCCTATCAGAAACAGAAGATGCCGGAAGCAACTCAAGTTTTAACAGATGTAGCCCTTCCAGTAACGCAGAATAGGATATTGAACATTATGAAACTGTGAATATTGTCCTGTTTGGAAATGTTAAAATAGCTCAATTTCGGAAATCAAGGCCAAAGCTGTGAACTCATTCTACTCGCTGAATTGTCCTAGTGGATGTTAAAATATTTAACATGCACCATCTTAACAGATAAACGAAAAAACGTTATCCAGTGTACAACCGTGAAGTCGTCAATTTAGTTAATTCCATTATAAACAAATCCAACCCATACAATCAAACATTATTTTTTGGCTGAAAAAATCAGGTTGACAGGAACGTCAAGTAGGAATAAGAGGTCACCAAACGTTAACTGTGTCCAACAAGACGGGATGACAGTGACCCACAAGGCCATAAGGGTTACACTGTGCAAGGCACTATAGTAAATTGTACGGAGTAATACAAGAAAATGCAGATTTGGACTAGAACTGCCCAAACACGCGTTCGCTCCAATTGAGTTGAATTACTATACAGTTTTTTTTTATCATTACTATCTGTACATCGTGTATTGGGGGTCACCTGCGAGCACTAACTTCGGCTTCTTTGAGTAAGAAATCCATAGCCAAAAAAGCTGCACCTACTGCAGGCTCAACCTGAGGAGTCACTAAATATCTTCATACAACATCACGGCATACCCATAAGAGGAGGAGGCTTGGGCAAAGGCATAATCTAGACTACCTTGTATATTGCATTGCAAAGTGATGGATTCAAAGAGTACCTTCAGGACACATGAGTCATTTGAAAAACATATTTCCCGAAAAGAGTCATGTTTCAACTAACAAAGCTGCTTTTTTATGGAATGTTCCGAAATAGTGGCAGACTTTTGATTTATATTTTATAACCATTCTAATGTACCGAAATCTAAAAGTTGTACTTTAATCAAAGATGATTTTTTTATGATGGGGAAACCATCAACCACTACAGGGTAAATCCTGCCTGATGATTCTTTTTCTTTCTTTTTCTTTTTTGGAAGACAGAGGTAGTAATTGTTCGTGTTTCTAAAATCTTTATAACTTCACTAAACTACAATTTCAGGTATCTAAAATATTTTGACGTCTCTTTCAAGTGTCAATCTTAATTCATTTCTCAAAAACATGTCGGGAAAAGCAAAAGAAGATGAGCCTCTCCTTCATACACAAATAAATGAAGACTCATGGGATACGAAGTAAGCAAGAGCATAAATATAGTAACCTTAGGTCGAATAATAGAAGCCCTTGGGTAGGTCTTTAGAATTGAATTTGTAACTTCCTCCCCTATGTTCCATTTCCTGTCGGCTTCCAGAACACCACCAACCATGACAAGTGGGAAAGAATCATTGTTATCTGCAATTGCCATAGTACTCACTTTCACTTGCCCACATCATAATGATCTATACAGTCAATAACTAGCTAATTGGGCACAAATAGGTGACGTAACATTCATAATCATCAATCTGGAAGTTGTGTTCATATAATTTTATAGCAAACATTGCCCTGGCTCAAGTTGAAATTGAAACTAATATGGAGTTAGAGGCATGAAACTTATACTCCATACTACAGAGTAATTACTTACATGAAATTCGCATGAGACGGTCCATGGTACAGTCTCACAGAGTTCAGCCCAAGGTACAGTCTCACAGAGCTCAGTTCATGGTAGTCTCACAGAGCTCAGTCCAAGGTAC